CCTCTCGTTCTTTGCCTGTGTACGGGCCATCGCACATCTGGCAGCCTCTCGCGCCTCCGTAACACGTTTAAGCGAGTCCCGCACGTGGTCAGGCAAGGAAGGGGACAGTTGTTTCCCCGCTGCACCAAGTTGCACATCAATCGGGGGTACATTCTCACGGCCATACATCAGGAAAAATGGTGAATATCCTGTGGATGCGTGCGGAACCATGCGGTATGCCGCCAGGACGCCCAGTATGTACAAGTCCCAATCGGTTTGTTTTTCACTCACCATGTGACAAAGCATGGCCGAAAGGGTGCGGTTAAATCGTTCCACCATGCCATCCGTTTGCGGATGGTAAGGGGAAGTGCGGATTTCCTTTGTACCCAAAGCAGAGCACACGTCTTTGAGCAATTTGGAGAAGTTACGTCCTTGATCTGTGAGCAGCCCTTCGGGTGCTCCTTTATCCATGACGTATCCATTCAAGAAAGCATCGGTGATGGATGAGGCCGTTTGGTCAGGCAAAGGCCAGGTCATAGGCCAGCGAGAAAAATATTCGACCCCGACCAAAAGGTATTTATTTCTCCTAGCCGATGGAGGGAACGGGCCTAGGATATCCAGAGCAACCAGCTCATTAATACGGGATACCTCGATCGAACGTAGGGGCGGGATATAATTTTGACGAGGCGGTTTCCGCTTTGCACAATCATGGCATGACCGGATAAAGTTAGTGACATCTGCTGTCATGCCGGGCGAAAAGAAATCCTGCTGCATCGCGGCCAATGTTTTCTGCATGCCGAGGTGCATCAGCTTGTCGGCGTGCAGAGCGTGGCGAAGGGATGTCGGCACAACCAGGCGTGAACAGTCAGACAATCCATCCGTACACATCAGTAATCCCGCCTGGCCCCGAAACAACTGCCATTTCCATCGCCAAATGAGATCTCGGTTTCCCGATCAGCTCCCGCAGCGGAGCCAGAGAGGCATCAGCCTCCTGCTCGCGTAGCCACACCGAGTGCGGCAAATGCAGCGTATCGTCGGCGCCAACGGATACATCCTGGCCTTCATCATTCGACATCGCCCCCATGACCGGACAGGGCGAGGTAGGCAGCGCCGCACAGCGGTGCGTACCCGTCAGACAGGCGCAGGGAAGAGTCGGGGGCAACCTAGAGAGAGCGTCCGCGTTGCCATGGCGAGTACCCTTGCGGTACGTGATATTGAAGGAAAACTCCTGTAATGATTCCAACCACCGAGCCAATTGACCGGACGGTTGTTCCAATTTCAAAGAATATTGCAAGGCAGCGTGGTCAGTGCGCAAGAGGAATTTCCTTCCATACAGATACGGCCGTTACTGGCGAACAAAATGAACAATTGCTAGCAGTTCCCGTCGCTCACACAATATCGCGTCTCGGCAGGGGACAGAACCCTGCTGCCATATGCCACCACTCGCTCGACCCCGTCTTTCCATTGCGACAAAACGGCTCCTATGCCGATATCGTTAGCATCCGTGTCAAGGATGAACGGCTGGGAAAAGTCTGGGTAGTCGTGCGTCGGAGCGGTGGCCAGGTGATCCCGGAGAGATTGAAAAGAGCGCTCCTCTTCCGGGCCCCATTTAAATCTCTTATTTTCTCCGTCAGAACATGCAGCAGCTTAGCCAGCATCAGGAAATTCTTAACAAATCGGCGATAGTAGGATGCGAACCCTATAAACCGCCGTACGTCGCCCACTGAAGTGGGCGTGGGCCACTCTCAACACACGCCGTTTTCTGAGGGTCCGTGGACACACCGTCAGAGCTGACGATGTGTCCCAAGTAGCGGACGGATAGTTGCAAAAGGTGGCACTTTTTTGGTTTAAATTTTAGGTCAGCCGAGCACATCCTCTGAAAGACAGTCTCCAGTCATTGGAGGTGTTCTTCAAAGGTGCGGCTGAATACGATGATATTGTCCAAATATATGAGGCACGTTTCCCACTGCAGCCCCGCTAGCACCAGTTCCATCAGGCGTTGGAACATCGCCGGTGCTGCATTCAAGCCCATAGGTAGGCGGTTAAATATTCTTAGGTTTTTTCGGTAAAGTCACGTAGATAAAAAATTTAAATTAATAAAAGTAAAATAAAATTTAATCACGACGTTTCGGAGGCAACACAAGCTTCCACCGTCAGGTGGAACCGTCACAGCACGATAGCTGTATCAAGTAAGAGAAATTCCAAGAAAACAGTCCTTGTATATATACTGGTTGAGGGTGGGAGGAGCCAAGGTAGGCCCTGGATATTATTAATGTGAGGTTCGGTGCTGCTGAAGCATCACGGATTTTATTTACTGTACTGAATCGGACTTGGATCCTACTTTAAGTTTTACCACACATATTTGGCAAATTTAGAATTAATCCCAGCAACGTAACAAAAGTGCTGTTTCATCTACATAACAAAGGCTCAGTCCCATTCACAGCAGCCGCCCTTTACATCAGTCGCACCTTAACAACTCTTAGAACCTCCCAGTTCAACCATTCTACACAACAAAGACTCATTTCTTGGCAGCGTTTTCAGCCGCACCACCTCTACATAACAAAAGGCTCAGTCCCATTTACACGCACCTTTACATCAGCCGCACCTAGTTTACACAACAAAGGCTCATTCCTAACAGCGTGCTTCAGCCTCACCGAACCTCACATTAATAATATCCAGGGCCTACCTTGGCTCCTCCCACCTTCAACCAGTATATATATATATATACAAGGACTGTTTTCTTGGAATTTCTCTTACTTGATACAGCTATCGTGCTGTGACGGTTCCAGCTGAAGACAGAAGCTTGTGTTGCCTCCGAAACGTCGTGATTTTATTTTATTTTTATTTTACTTTTATTAATTTAAAAATTTTATCTACGTGACTTTACCGAAAAAACCTAAGAATATGAATCATTGCAGTCACGAAAGCCTCAAATCTAAAATTAGGCGGTTAAACTCAAAGAGGCCATGTGGCGTGTGGAACGCCGTTTTCGGTCTGGACGCGTCATCGAGAGGAAGCTGCCAAAACCCAGATGACAGGTCAAGGGTAGAGAAAAAATTTGCCCCTGACAAAGCGTCCAACGAGTCGTCCATCCGTGGCAAGGGGTATGCGTCCACCACGGATATGTTATTCAATCGGCGGAAGTCTACACAAAATGTCGTCCCACCATCCTTTTTCTTAACCAGCACCACCGGCGCGCCCCAAGGACTGTTGGACGGCGAAATTATATCGGCCGCCAACATGTCGTCCACCACACCACGCACGTGTTCCCTTTCTGCAGGGCTCATGAAATGCGGGTGCATATAAATCGGTCCCGCCGCACCGGTGTGTTGATATGGTGCAACAAGAGCGAGGTATGGCCCAAATCCAAATCTTTTTTACTGAAAACGTCAGCGTACTCCGACAATAATGAATTCAAGGCGCTCCGCTGCATGGCCGACAAAGACGTATTTTCCCCACACAAATCTGCGATCCATCGATCGTCCGAACAATCAGATCATGGCCCGCCAGCGGCCATTTTTGTGGGTTGTTCACCCTCAAAGCTGGTGAAATCGGTAGTGGCGTGAGCCAACACCGAGCCAGCCGGGACGACGACCCGGTCCGGGCCCCCATTTAATACTTGTATAAACGGGGCCTGACCAGGCCGAACGATAGTTTGAGCCTCCACTAGGGAAAAGGATTTTGCCACAGAATTCGACGGGGACAACAGCACACCCGTTGCACCGTCCAATAACTTCCGGTAACGCAGCGGAATAAGCATTTGTGAGCCTGATGGTACTTCTACCGTGACAGCAACAATTGCGTTAACAGCGTTTCCTGGGGGCGAACGGCCCAGCAGGGACGGCAGGAACGACATTCTACGGCCCCCTGGCATTTTCAAGCAACCTTTGTCGACGAGTATTTTAACGGGCATGCGGCGAAGGAAATCGCTGCCCAATAGGCATGGGACGACCAATGAACGTGAGATCAAAACTGGTTCCTCCGCGGTGATATTCCCTATAGCAATACGCACATCTACTCGCCCCAAAATACCCATGCTACCCCCATTTGCAGCAACGCACCCGTCATTAGCCGGTCGCATCCACGACGTAGGAATGGACAGGAGATGAAAAATAACATCGGAAATGAGCAGACGCGCCTGTGTCCACCAAAATACGGACATCGATCCCATCGATGGTACCCTGTACCATCGAGGACCCCGACGCGGCTGCCACCACTCTACGGGCCAATTTCTTCCATTGTGTAACCGAGTGCGGCATCGACACAGGTGACCCACAATTCCCTTCCGGAGTGCAAACATGCGTGCAAGTGGATGGGTGATGTGTCAAGACCTGCCGGGTGTCCGAAATGTGCCGACTTGCCCGAGGGTGCCGTGGATCCGCATCCGGTGGAGGAGATGGAAGTCGGCCCTACGGGAGCTGAGGAGATTGAAGTCAGCAGCGGCATTCCCGGGTGAAATGGCCTCGTCGGCCACACTTAAAACACGTGGCCGCCGCTGCCCGACGGTCGTTCGCCCCGGTCCCCGCTCGTGGTCGTCCGGCCCCATTACGCTGCTCGCGTGGCCGGCGTTTCGGGACCCAGTGAGGAACAGCAGCCATCACCTCGTCGTCGCTGGAGTCGTTGGAGCCGTGGACGACCCGACGTGGAGACCACCCCAACGGTGGCCCGTCTATCTCATGATCCCCCGTCCATGCAGCCATCTGATCCCAGCATTTGAGGTTGAACTTGGCGTCCAAGCAGCGCGCCGCCCATCGAGACGTAAGCGGTTCATGGCCGCACACCGGTAATGAGATGTTAAGTTCCTGGGCTAACTCAATCAGCTGGAAAGGATGAGAGGATCCAGGAGATCGGCTGACGATTTGGGGTAGGCAAGCGCTAATAGCACCCCTCGGTAAGCCAAGGGCGATTCTTCCACTCCTCGACGACACTGCATAAATTTCCTGGTAGCCACCATCGGCGGCTCGTAGAACTCCGCCATTTCCGTGAAAGCGTCACGCAGTGTCTTCTTCTTACTCGCCAGGATGGATCAGAAAACTGCCAAGGAGACATCATCCAACAGCGTGGGCAGAGCCTCCAGCGCCTCTGCCTCCGTCGATCGCACCGACCGAAAGGCTGACTCGAACCGCCAAGTGAATGCGCTACAGTCGCCCCCGGCGACAAATTCTTTCATTTGAGGAAGGCGATGGCCACGGTGAATGTCCGAGGCCTCGAGCGTCTCCAATCCCGCTCCCCACGCAGTACGCGGCTCTGTCAAGATGGCGTCCGGCGGCCGCGTGGCAGCAGCCCCGCCCAAGATGGTGTCCGGCGGCCGCGTGGCAGCAGCCCCACCCAAGATGGCGTCTGGCGGCTCCGTTGCAGCAGCCCCGCCCAAGATGGAGGCCTCTCCCTCCGTGGCAGGAGTAATGGCGGACGTCGTTTCCCGCTGAAAATCTTGATCATCGGCCCTTGGGTGAATTCCACGCGGCCGACCGAGGGCCGCTGATGACGCGACCGCTGTTACAAAATTTAGCAGGATCGCATGGAGCAATTTTATCTGTTCCGCCAGCCGACGCCACCCCTCGTCTGCAGCCGGAGACGTTGTTTTGCCGGCCTGTCGGCGATGAGTGGCGTCGGGGAGAGCAGCAGACAGAGGTAGAGGACCCGCAGCTCCCACTAGCTCGTCCTCGTCTGCCTCAACCTCTTCCTCCGACGGAGGGTCCGGTGGGTTTCTCTTCTTGAGGTGCTTGGACATTTTGTAAGAATCGTCCAAACGGTCTCAAGAGACACTTCTGTCACCAATGTAATAAAGGTCGTTGAAGCGACTTCTGGAATCCGGTCTTTATTCGTCTTTCATTACAACACTCTTTCACACTTATCTCGGCCTCGCTGTGCGCTGTGTTGCACCGCTAGTCGAGTAGATAACCTTGCGTTCAATAAACCCTCGGAGCCAGGATGAACGTCCAACTCCAATCGTCATTTATTGATTTTAACAAGGTAAAACTGGTGAGAAAACACAGATACAGTATCTGTTATAATCCAGAAACACCAACACAATGAACACCACAGCATCAGAACATTGTCTTAGATAACAATAGATCCTGGACGGACCAGGCCCCTACATTACCACTGAACAACTAGACAAAGCACAAGCCGGTGCGTTGCATACAGGCACATCGTGTATTCATCCCACTGCACCCCAAATGTACAGCATTACACATAACACTAAACTGTGGATGAGATACTTCGTCATCTTTACTCTCAGGATCGCAACATAGGCACAAGTCTGACTCGACCTACTAAATCACAAGTAACATCCACAATAAGGAAAGTCGCAGGCTTCGTTACTAACTAGGCCTCAACAACAGCGGCAGCTGCAGCAACAACAGCGGCAGCTGCAGCAACAACAGCAGCAGCTGCAGCAACAACAGCAGCAGCTACAGAAACAACAACAGCAGCAGCTGCAGCAACACCAGCAGCAGCTGCAGCAACAACAGCAGCTGCAGCAACAACAGCAGCAGCTGCAACAACAACAGCAGCTGCAACAACAGCAGCAAGATGGCGGCGGCGTGTGCGGCCGCGTGTGCGTTGTGTGCGTTGTGCTGCATGGGTGTGGGCTGTGCGTGAGAGTGGGTGAGGGTGAGCTGCGTGTGAGTGAGCTGTGTGTGTGTGTTTAAATTTAGTGTTTTAAAGATGTCAATTCACCTGCTGTGTATCTTACTACTGTCCCTCCCGGCCATATCTAGTGCCACACTCAACTCTACAAACGGCTACCCGCGTTACTTCGCGTCAATACTTATTGCTAAATTTGCAACTACACCTGCTAATGAAACAACTTTTAGACACTTCTACACTCCATCATTATATCCTTTTAAACCCTATCTTTGTCCCATTACTTCACCAGCACTCCTTCTAAACTTCATTCTGCTCTTAAAAATAACACCATCTGCGAGCTGCTGCTATTCGTCCAAGGTTCGTCGCTCTTCATCCTTTCACAGAAAATACCTGTGCAAACTATTAATTCTACTTTTCTTATTTCTGGGTGGTATTGAGCTTCATCCTGGACCAAATGTAAAGAACTCATATAATTCTGTAGATTTTTCTGGCAGAAAAGGTGTTGGTGTTCTACATGTCAACATCAGAGGGCTTTTGATTAAATTAAGTCAACTAAAACTAGAAGTAGCAAATCTTGACCCGGACATATTTTGCCTAACAGAAACATTTCTCACTCCTGCCGTCAATGACTTGCAGATTACGATTGACAACTACAATCTTTTTCGGCTTGACCGAGGATCTAAAGGAGGTGGAATTGCCATCTATGTTCGTAATACTATTGCATGTTCACCAGCTCACTCCTTGTTTAAAAAATGTTGCTTTGAAGGTCTGGCTCTCAGAATAACTCTCCCTAATAATCAACACATATTGGTAGTGTGCTGCTATAGACCGCCTAGTGGGAAGGATGTTGAAGCTGCATCTGCACTGAGAGAGCTTCTTGGGGGCCTCCCTAAAGGTGAAATAGTTTTAGTGGGTGATCTAAATTGGAATTGGCTAAACCCGCCGGCCGTGGCCACAAATTTTGCAGATGAATTTAACCTGTTTCAATTAATAAATGTCCCCACAAGACCCAACCTAAAAAATCCGGGACAGTCATCTCTGCTTGACTTCCTATTGACAAATGCCCCTCACAATTTCGCACTGACTGGTGTTCTAGGTAATAACCTTAGTGATCACTCCTTCATTTTTGGGGTGAGATCATCAGCCAGACCCAAAGCCCCCCCTAAATTGGTTGAGAAGCACTCCATGAGACACTTCAGCACTCAGGCATTTACTAATGATGTGCTTCACTCGGATATTGACAAGGTCTGTGATATTCCAAACCTGACTACGGCTTGGGAGACCTTCAGGTACACGTTTCTCCAAATTCTTAACAAACATGCTCCGTTGGTTAAATTTAAAACTAAAGGCAACCGTCCACCATGGTTTGATCCTTTGATTACAAAGCTCATGAAAACTAGGGACAAGGCTTGGGCATATGCTCAGAAAAGTAATTTGGTCAATGACTGGCTAGAATACAGGATTTTAAGGAATAGATGCGTCAAAAAAATACGGCATGCAAAAAATAACTACTTTTCTTCCACTCTCCTTGAATCTCATGGAAATGCCAGGATTTTCTGGAAAACAATCAAATGTATCGAAAAGGCATCCAAAACAGATCATCTGCCCGTTCAGCTTAACCGAAATGGGGAATATTTTTCAGATCCCCAAAAAATAGTTGACAATTTTAACCTTCATTTTTCTGAAGCTGGTACCCTATTTGATAATGTATTGAGAGTCACCCCTGCTCATGCAAATTCCTACACCCCTATCCAAACATTAAGCGAATTTAGTTTTCAGCCAATCCACGAAAGTAGTGTTCTGAAACAACGGTCCTACCTCAAAGGGTCCTCCTCTACCGGAGCAGATAGTATTCCCGTCTTTGCTCTACTAAGTGTTGGTCACCTAATATACAAACCTATAGCCCATATTTTCAACCTGTCCATCAAAGAAGCATCAGTTCCTCTAGAATGGAAACATTCCTATGTTCGTCCACTTCACAAAGGGGGCCCTAAAGATGATCCAAATAACTACCGACCTATCTCAATTTTGTCCCCGTTGATGAAAATTTTTGAAAAATTATTGACCTACCAAATTAGCAGTTTCCTGTCCGCCAACAATCTATTACATCTAAAACAATCTGGGTTCCGAAAAAAATACAGCACCACATCTGCTGCATTAGACTCTCTGAATCACATTTACAGTAGCCTTGATAATAAGCAGTACTGCGCCTGTCTTTTTCTTGACTTGTCCAAAGCTTTTGATACAGTAGACCACAACATCCTGCTTAGTAAAATAAGTTGCCTCGGTTTTTCCGAAAACACAGTAAAATGGTTAAAAAATTACCTCTTTTCTCGCACCCAAACTGTATTCACAGAGGGTTGGAGGTCAAACAGTGTTAAGATAACAAAAGGGGTTCCACAGGGTTCCATTCTCGGCCCCCTCTTGTTCTCTCTTTATGTAAATGACTTGGGCACTGAACTGGATTATTCCAGGGTAAATCTTTTTGCAGATGACACGGTACTGATTACTGCTGGCCACTCTCCGGATGACGTGATTGCTAAGCTCCAGAGTGATTTCAACAAACTACAACATCAGCTAGTTGCTCTTAAACTAGTCCTAAATCCTGCCAAAACCAAGGTGCTATGCTTCTCACCAGGACTAAAGCGGGAAGTTATTTTTCCCCAATTACATACCTTAAATAATGATCAAATAGAGCAAGTCAAGATCTATAAGTATCTTGGGGTCATCCTGGATTCAAAACTGAATTTTGAAGATCACATTGATTATATTGGGAAAAAGACAAAAAATAAAATTAGTTTTCTATATCGACACAAGCACTGCTTCCCCCCTATGTTCCGTTTGGAATTGATTAAAGCTACCATACTGCCTCTACTTGATTACTGTGACATTGTGTATAAATCAGCCCCAAGTACTGTACTGAAGAAGCTTGACTCAATGTATCACTCGGCCTTAAGATTTGCATTGAACTGCCCATATAGGACTCACCACTGTGATCTCTACATTGGGTCAAACTTAACATCTCTAAATGTTCGACGGCTTGTGCACCAGATGTTATTTATTCATGATGTACTTGCAAAAAAATCTGCAGATTACCTGTTGGATATCGTCTCTGTTTCAAAGAACAAATTTGACCTAAGGTCTACACTCATTTACCAGCTTAATATTCCCTTTTGCCGTACATATACTGGAGGAAGGGCCTTTGCTATTGATGCCCCCAGGGTCTGGAATGCTGTTGCAAATAAATTGAAACTTGAGTCACTACCTATGAGATCTTCACTCAAAACTGCTCTAGAGGAGTTGTACACCCCTAGCTGCCAGTGCTATTCTGTGACCTAAAATAAAATGTTTCGCTGCGGATGATCGCTACAAAGTATGACCTGTGTTTTGATTTAGTGTGCTGATCTTAAAGGTGCATTGAAAAATTACAATACTCCGATTGATGCTCCTGCTGTTAGGGAATGACTCATGCAGCCAGCTATGGCTGCAGGGTTTTGGTAGTACATGTTGTTTATGCCATTTATTGTGAAAATTCCGT